GGGAGCGCGCGAGGAAGAACGCGCTGGAGGAGCAGATGGTGGAGGCTCGCTACATCGGCCACCACCCGCGCGACGGCTCGATGATGGTCATCACGAGCGACGGTGTGAAGAAGGCGGTCGGCTTTCGCAGCCTGCCGCAGAGCGAGAAGTGGATCACGGCGGGCTGGGACAGCCTGAAGGGCCTGCCGTGGGACGTGGCTCCGCGTGCGGCCAGCGCGCCGCGGGCCATCGTCGGACCTGGAGAGGTCGGACCGCCACCAATTGTGGTGGTGTCGCCGCAGCCGCAGGCGCCGAGGAGGATGTACGTCCTCAAGGCGGACGTCGAGCGGCTGGGCGCAACGCCGGGATGCCCAGGGTGCGTCTCGATCGCCAAGCACGGCAAGGTGCTGGCTGGCCATGCGCACAACGCGGTGTGCAGCAAGAGAATCTTCGAAGCGCTGGACGCTGAGGAGGCAGGCCGGGAGAGGACCGGCCAGTATCGAGAGCGGAGGCAGGGCCAAGAGGCCAGAGTCCGACCGGCGGCAGCGGCCGCGGCAGGGACCCCTCCGCCGAAGACGGCTCGGAGGATCACCGAGCCGGTGGCAGCGGCGGCGTCGGCATCGGCCGCGCCGGCCGCGAGCCGATCGGCAGCAGCGCCAGCCGCAGCGGCGCGCATGCGAGAGAGCCAGCCGGCAGCATCAGGCTCCGGCGTGGCGGCTCCTTCAGGAGGAGCGAGCTCCAGTTCGGGAGCAGTGCGAGCGGCAGAGACCGCCGAGGATGTCGACATGACCGCGACCAGGTCGCGGCTGAAGCGCTTGGCGGAGGTGGCCCCGGATGACGTGCCGGAGGCCCTCGAGCGCGGTGATCCACAGCCGGCAGACGTGCCGGTACCGGTGGACATGGAGGATCTCGCGGCGCAGCCGGCGCCAGCGGAAGGACCTCAGCTGCCGGCTGGAGTGGCAGTCGTGTGGAACGCCAGTGAGGGGAGACACATGCGGGTGCTCGCTCTCGACGTGGCGTCGATCGAGCTGGTCGAGCTCGGAGTGCTGACGAGGGCGAAGGCGGAGTTGCTCCCGCTCGTTCGCGAACAGGTCAGCGGCCATTGGGCCAGTGTCGGCGTGGACATCGCCGACGAAGAGGTGGACAGCATCGCCTTGTCGGCGTTGCAGCTGGGCGCCGTGGACGTGGCAGAGGTGTACTCGCCACATCGGTTCTCTGCTCGGGCGGCGGAGTTTCAGCTGCGCCCGGGCTTCGCGGCGGACCTGGAGGAACTCAAGGAGGACGGGGCGCCATGGGACTTGCGGCGACCCGAGGATGTCAAGGAGCTCGAGGAGCAGCAGGAGCGGATGGATCCCATCCTGCTCACGGGGTCCCCTCCATGCGAGAAGTTCAGCTTGCTGAGGGGCCTGAGCGCCAAGTTCAGGACCGAGGAGCAGGAGGCGGCTGAGATGGAGGAGGCCAGACACCACCTGAAGGTGGCAGTCGACGCCTACTGGCGTCAGCTCAGGAAGCCAGGCAGGTACTTCCTGCATGAGCATCCCTGGAGCGCGCGATCGTGGAAAGAGGACATCGTCAAGGAGCTGGTCGCGCATCCAGGAGTCTTCACGGTCAAAGGCCCCATGTGTCGGTGGGGCATGAAGCTCACGAACCCACGCAGTGGCCAGGAGGAGTTCGTGCGCAAGGAGACCGGATGGGTCACCAACCGCCCAGGCTTAGCCCGGAGGCTGCGGGGCACTTGCAGCAATGTGGACGGCCGCGCAGAGTGGCATCGCCACATCACGCTCGTGGGCGGCATCGCGCGGTTCGCGAAGGTCTATCCACCGAAGTTGGTGGAGGCGGTGCTGGAGGAGTTCAAGGACACGCTGAATGACGTGGGGGAGCTCAGCACCGCCCAGGTGCAGCAGTCGGGCCCAGTCCCTGTGGACGCGGCGGTGCCGCCCGGGGACTGGACGAGCTACTGGGACGACGTCAATGGCGGCTACCTGGAGGCGGGCCTTGTGGCCCAGGCTCGCGCGGTCGAGCGCGAGTGGGTCAAGAAGCAGGAGCTGATCGAGATCGTCCCGAGGTCTCAGGCTTTCGCCGAGACTGGGCGTCCGCCCATCCCACTCAAGTGGGTCGACACGAACAAGGGTGACGCGGAGAGGCCCAACTACAGGAGCAGGCTCGTCGTGAAGGAGATCAAGGCGAAGAAGCGCCCTGACGAGCAGCTGGAGGTGTCCGAGGTCTTCTCGGCAATGCCTCCTCTGGAGGCCATGCGGTCGCTGGTCTCGCTGATGGTCACGTGGACGCGGGAAGCACCGCTCCACATTCAGGAGTCGCTTCGCAAGAAGGGCAGGAAGCCGGGCAACTTCAAGATCGGCTTCTTCGACATCAGCAGGGCGCACTTCTACGGGAAGGCGCAGCGGAGGATCTTCGTGGAGCTGGAGGAGGAGAGTCGCAAGGAGTACGGCGAGGACAAGTGTGGCTTACTCCTCAAGTCCTGGTACGGCACGCAGGACGCCAGCAAGATCTGGCAGGGCGACTACACGGAGCTGCTGGAGGAACACGGCTACAAGGCGGGCGTGTCATGCCCAGCGGTCTTCTACAAGGAGGTGGACGAGACGAGGCTGCTGGGGCACGGCGACGACTTCGCGGTGCTGGCTCAACAGCAGGACATCGACAGCTTCGAGGCCACGTTGGGCAAGAAGTACGAGTTCAAGAAGACTGCGAACCTCGGCTTCGACGAGGGCGATGACAAGCAGGCGGTCTTCCTGAATCGGATCATCGAAGTCAGTGCGGGAGTTCCGCCTGGCGGTGGCCGGCCCTGCCGGCATGCGATGATTGAGCCGGACAAGCGGCGCGCAGAGATCGTGATCGACGAGCTGGGTCTCAGCAAGGCCAACGGCGTGGACACGCCGATGGAGAAGCGCAGCGCCGACAAGCAGATGATGGACGCGAAGTCGGCGGCGCTGGGAGCGGCGGAAGCTTCGCGCTTCCGATCCCTCACCATGAGGGTGGCCTACCTGTCTCAGGACAGGCTGGACCTGGCAGAGGCATCGAAGACGCTCGCTAGGTCCATGCAGACGCCGACGGAGGCGAGTTGGCTCATGCTCAAGAGGGTTGGTCGCTACCTCAAGCGGCATCCCAGTACGGTGACGGTTTTCACGGAGCAGAAGATGTTCGACAAGATCCGGGTGTACGTGGACTCCGATCATGCGGGCTGCGCAGTCACTCGGAAAAGCACCGGAGGCTTCGTGGCGATGCTGGGGCATCATGTCATCAAGCACGGCAGTAATCTTCAGTCGACGGTCTCTCTGAGCAGTGGAGAGAGCGAGTACTACGCCCTGGTGAAGGGCGGGAGTGTGGGCCTGGGTCTATACAGCCTCTTCGCAGACTGGGGGCTGGACCTGAAGGTGGAGCTCGCCTCAGATTCATCGGCGGCCCGGGGCCACGTCCAACGGCGAGGTCTCGGGAAGATGCGACATGTTCAATCACGATACCTGTGGATCCAGGAGCGCGTGGGTAAGGGCGATCTCTCGATCGCCGCAGTTCCTGGTAAGAACAATGTCGCGGACGTGCTGACCAAGAGCGTGGGTGGATCTCTTTTGAGGAGACACATGGCGACGCTCAACATCTGGGATCGGGCACCGAGTTCGACCCAGAAGGATTTCAAGTGAAGGGGTGGATCGAATCCATGCTCCGCTACCTGTGGGGCTGGATGAGTTTCCGCCGGTGGCGGTATGATCGCACCGGACGGGTGAAGTGAGGGGCTCGCGGCATGGCCGCAGCCTGGCGGATGAGATGGGCGCGTCGGCTTGGACGCGCCCGCGTGTGACGCTGAGATGGGCGTGTCGGCTTGGACGCGCCCGCGTACGACGCATGTCGTGCCTGGCCGGGTTGGCGGCCAGGCCCGAGGAGGAGTGATTCTGACACCCTCCTCCGTGTACCCATTTTGGCTCAAGATGGAAAAGAGATATCTTGTCCATCGGCATAATATATCATCATGCGTGCGTGTGTGTGGGTGCGTGTTTGCGTGTGCGTGTGCGTGCTTGTGTGTGTGTGAGTGTGTGCGTGTGTGTGTGAATGTGTGTGAATGTGTGTGTATGTGTGCGTGTGTGCGTGTGTGTGTGTGTGTGTGTGTGTGTGTGTTTGTGTGTGCGTGCTTGCGTGCGTGCGTGCGTGTGTCAGTGTCTGTGTGTGTGTGTGTGTATGTATGTGTGTTTGTGTATGCATGTGTATGTATGCATGTGTCTGTATGTATGCATGTGTGCGTTAGGTCCGATCTTCGTTTAAACCGATGTGAATCTATGCGAGGCGGCGACGGGGCGGCGACGGCGGCAACGGAACCGCCAGACCGACATCAGGCCCTTTCGACGGGCGGCAACAGGTGGCAACGGGCAGCGACGGCGGCCACGTAACCGGCAAACTGAGGTACAGGGCCAGTTCGTTGGGGAGTGCAAAGCAGCCCCTTCAATGGAAGGTTTCTCCGAAGGGTTTAGGCGACCCGTCCTCCTCCTCACTCTCCTCCTCCTCCCTCCTCTTCCTCTCTCCTCCTCCTCCTCCTCCTCCTCCTCCTTCTCCTCCTCGTCTCCTCCCCCTCCCCCCTCCTCCTCCTGCAGAAAGAAGGGCCCGTCAGTGCAAACATTGCTTGGGGAAAACTGCATCCACATGGTGTCTCGGAGGTCCGCGCGGATGCTCGGATCGGCGCTGGGCCCCACTGACGTTTCCTCTGGCGCCGCCCCTGGCGCGCTCCGCGCGCCAGAAGGGGCAGTCCAGCGCCGATCCGAGAAACCCGCGCGGACCTCCGAGAAATGCTTGTGCGTGCCGCTTTTGAACTTCAAGATGGGAAGAATGGGGGCGAAGACTGACAGCACCTCCTGCCTTTTTTGGAAAGGGTTCGCTGTCGGTGCCGCCGCGGAGGTTGTCCAGTTGAAAAACAGAAAGTCGCCTGCTCAACAGCGGCCGCTGTCGGGTTTGGGGGGCAGACTTGCTATGATTGGGCATCGTGCCGAATTGTTTCCGTTACTCGGGCGTGCCAGAAGGAGATCCTGGGGGACCCGCTCCAGCGGGAGATCTCCGAGGCTCGCGGGCGGGAGACATGTCCACATCCGCGGCCCTGCGGGCCAGGCCCCTGGGCCGCGACCCCAGCGATGCGGGAGTTTCTTCCCAGATGCCCCGTGCGGAGCGCATCCGTGTGAGCGCGCATCCACGGGATCGCGCCCTGGAATCCAGACCGCGAGTGTGTGCCCAGGCATCCGACGTTGTGGTTTCCTGGTTTTATAAAGCCGCACATCTTTCGGCTCCACGGAGGTCTCGACCCACTCCCTGGGACCTTCCTGGCATCTCGAGTCGCCCTGGAAGGTTCCGAGACCTGACGTGGGCTTCAGAGGACGAGCGTTTCAGAAAGCAATTTCCCTATCGCGTGAGGGAGTGCGGGATGTGGATGCCTTCGCTGCGCGTGAGAGGTGGAGGCCCTCGAGGCCCTCCTCGCGTCCGTGGAGGACTGCGCGGTCGGGGTGCTGAGCGCCCTGGGCTCGCTGCAGCTGGCGACGCGGCCCCTGCAGGAGCCGTCGGCGCGCACACGTGGCAGCGAGGCGCGCGGGGCAGCGACGGGCCCCGCCGCCTCCGTCGCCAGAGCAAGGGCACGAGCGAAGCAGCAGTGCTCCAGCGACGTCGTGGGCCGTTCTCGTTTCGATCTCGCTCCGCAGCCAAAGAGCGGAGACAGGCAGCCACGCGCAGAGGGGGGTGGGGGGGGGAGGGCTTCTCAGGAGCACCCCTGCTTCTGAGAAGGCGCGGTCCCCATCTACAGATGTAAGGCCGGCGTCTTTAAGAAGCGGCCTCCTTCTAAGAAGCCTTCCCCCTCGAGCCCTGCGCTGAAAAGCGAGCGGCATTTTGGAGCCGGCTGTGGGTCTGAGAGGTGGCCCAGCACAGGTTCCGACCAGCAAGAGGGGGGCGGCAGGCTCGAGGTCCTGGACCTGCTTTCGAGGGACCACTTTCGGGCCCCGGGGCTTTCAGAAAGTGATCTGGGATCAAAGCTGCACCAGAGGAACCCAGGGAGGGGTCCGGGAACTGATGCTGAGCGGACTTGCCTTCATCTTCCCCCCCTCTCGACCGATCTCCTCGGCTCCCAACCAGCTTGGACCCCCTGGCCGCCTTCTCAGCGGCATTGGCCTCACGTTTCGAGGGCAGCTTCCCCGATCCAGGGATCTGGCTCCAACGCGCCAGATTCATGGATCCGTAATCGATGTTCCTTGGGAACCGAGGTCACGACCAAATTGCAAGATCGCAGAAAACCTCGACTGGCAGTCTAGACTCCATCCTTCTGCTGCACTGTTCGAGCTGGATCGGTCCGTGAGGGCCCTGGGGCCCGAAATAAGGCAACATCTCCGTTGTGAAAGAATCGCGACGTCAGGATCCCAGGGCCCCTGTAGTTTTCGGGTTAACTCGGCTCCTTGGCGGCCGTTCGGAATGATTCTGGCTCCCCCGGAATGCACTCGACGAGGCGCAGCTGATGAAAAGCGCTGGTCGGGGCCTCCACAACTGTCAACGACGCCCAAAAAGTTTCCGCCAAGATCTAGGGGAACAGACGACGCCGGCGGCGCCCAGATATCATGGGATCTACGCGTCCTCAATCCGTGTAAGCGTGCAGCCAAAGGAGCTTTGGGCCTCCTAGATGGGCTCCGAGTAGATGGGTCCAGATGATCGCGCCGAATCGGCAATGCATCGCCGATGCATCGCCGATGCGTCGCCGATTCATCGTCGATGCATCGGCGACGTTTGCGATGCATCGTCGACGTCGGCGTTGAGAAAGTCGGGCTCCACATCGCGCCGCATCGCCGATGCATCGGCGATGCGGCGCTATCCTCCGACCCCATCTGCTCGGACCCCATCCGGGACGCCTCAACAGTCCAAATTCATGGTAAGGACGCGGTACTTCCGCAAGATTACCCTTGCATTCTTGCATCCTCAGCCAAACCCTCGGTCATTTCCGACAACGAGGGCGTCCAACCTGGGAAGGTCCAAGGGCCTTGCATCCTTACTGTGCGTCCCTACCGTCGAATTTGATTGTATATTAGCCGCCAACAGGAGCGAATCCACGCGTTCCTGGGCGGGGTGGGCTATCAGCCCCTTATCGTCGATGCATCGCCGATTCCAGCTCGATGTTCCCCCCCTGAGCCTACCCCACCCCTACCGTTACCCCTGAGAGATGATGCTCACCTTCTGCGGCAACTCATGGGAGCCTCCCATGTGCTCTTTCGATGCCGGTCGACGCTAAATCGACGCCAATCGGCGCCAGCCGACGCTGATCGATGCTAGTCGACGCTAGTCGACGCCAAGCGACCGTTGATTGGCGTCGATTGTTGACGCTCGTGCGCCACTCGCGAATCGACGCTTCTCGCCGCCAGTCGACGCTAAGTCGACGCTGAAAGTCGTTGCCCCTCGGAAGGAGCGGCTGCAGGCGATGGCCCGCGGCGGCGCCCCCCTCGCCGAGGAGCTCGCGCAGGCGCTCCTGGCGTGCTCCGGCCAGCTCCTCGCGGGCGCGCCGCACCTGGAGGCGACGAGGTCGGAGGAGGCAAAGGTGCCCCATGCCTCGCCGCTGCGGGGCCTCGAGGCCCCACTCGCTGGCCCGAGGAGGCGGTGCCCATGCCTCTCTCCACTCTGCCCTCGTGCTTCCCCTTTTTAGGCCTCCTGGGCGGCCCGCGTCGCCACCGCCAGGTTCGCCTCGAGATCCTGGTCAGATCGCACCCCGGGAGGGGTCCGGGGAGTAGCGGTATGCAAGCACCAGTGGCGGGCTGCTTTTCTATCCCAGGGTTTTTTTGAGGGTCGGGGACGGCGTCGGGGTGGTGTGGTGTACACTTTTTCCCCGTTCTCTTGGGGAAACAGCGAAAAACGTATACACCAGGATCCTGTATACACCCGGATCCCCAGACCCCCTCGCGTTGCGAAAAAATCACGACGGGAGGTTTTTCGTTATTTTCGGTTTTTGGGGGCCCCTGCTGGGCTTCGGGACCGTCAAACAAACGATTCAGGGTTTCTGGGGGCCCCTGCTGGGCTTCGGGACCGTCAAACAATCGATGCAGGGCGAAGAATCGGTCTCGGGGAATGGGTCCAGACCTCTGGAGGTCGACGCAGTGAAAAAGTCATGACGTGGGGGGTCTGGGTCCGCTTTCCTGTGCGGGTTCCAGTGCCGGGCTGGACAAAGCGTCGGTGTAATTACAGGTCGGAGGTTGATAGACCTCCTACCCTGACACGTCGATTCACGATTTGGCCGTTTTCGGTTTGCGAGAGGGCGTCGCGGCCGTCATTTTTGCGGGGCCAGGCCCGTCGGTTTCGGTCCGAGGCCGTATTTCACTACAGGGAGGTTTACGAAATGGAGGTTCATTAAATGGAGGTTTGTCCACCGCCGAGGGAGGTTTACTAAATGGAGGTTTATTAAATGGAGGTTTACTAAATGGAGGTTCACTAAAGGGAGGTCGTTTTCACTAAAGGGAGGTTTAGTAAGTGGAGGTCTGTCCACCGCCGAAGAGAGTTCGGCTCCCTGCGAGGGGCCACGCCGCGGAGGCGCGCGGCCGCCTCGCGGCGGCGGAGGATCGGCTGGGGCGCGCGCAGCCCAGCCCCCCTTCACAGTCACGAGGAGGCACGACGGGCGTTTTGGGGTTCGCTAGTTTTAGGTCGGGCGCGTTCAGGAGGAATATTCAAACATAGTTTAAAAAAGAGTCGGGGGCCGATCTTTCGAGTATTTCTGAGTATGTCTTGAATGTTTTTGGATTGTTTGTTTTCCCTCCAGATCCGCCTGTAAGAGGGCATGCCCGACCTAACTCCAGTCACGAGGGGGCACGACGGGCGCTTCTGGGTTCGCTGGTTTGGGGCTCCCAGGGGGCCCCCACCGAGCCTCCAAAACAAAAAAGACGGCTCGGGACGACGAGCGGGCCCCAGGGAACGGGTCCAGAGCTCTGCGGGCCGACGCCGAGAACAAGGCATGGCGTCGGGAGGTCTGGACCCCCCCTGGCTGACCCAGATGTGCTCACGCGCGGCGAGCAGAGCCGAGTCCGCGGGGGCGCGCGAGGCCGCCCCGTGGCGGCGGAGGATCGGTCGGGGCGCTCGCAGCGGCGGTCTCCTCGGCACCTCCACCAGGGGCGTCCTGGGCGTCTTCAGCACCTCAAGGCTCGGGCGCGGAGCGCCCCAGGGGTGCCGCGGGAGGCGGCGCCGAGGTGTCGAGGCCGCTCCGGATTGCCGGAGGGGCGTGTGGAGGCTGGCTGGGACTATTCGGCGGGCCTCTTGGGGCCAACGGGGACTGCAGTCAACCCGCATAGTGCGGATGGGCAATCTGCCCAGTCCTGCATCCTGCATCCTTGCCCCTTCGGCCCGTCCTGAGCGGCTTTCGCTGGCCAGCCTCGTTCGAAAAGCGTCAGCACGGCCCTCCAAGGCCCCTGCATCCCTACCGCGCCTCCTCATGATGAGGATTGCCTGTATACAAGGGACCGTGGTCTCGGGGGCGCGAGCGTGGCACATCATTTACACAAAGAGGTCGTGGCCTCGCGGGGCGCGAGCGTGGCGTGGAAGTTGCCGGGGCGCGTGGCCTCGGGGGCGCGCGAGCGTGGCGCCATGTGCTTAGGGTTATGATGTTCCAGCCTACTTTAGCCTTGACCGCGAGGAAAAAATCGAGCACCAAGAAAGGACCGAAGCTCAATGGGTTTCACGCGTCGGGCCCTGGGAGACACTCGTCAGACACCGCTTCGACACTGCTTCGACACTCCTCCGGGCGCTCGAGATTGTTTCTGGGATGTGGTCCTTAAGGTACGACGGGCGCAGCATAAGCCTGGGGGTCTGCGCCCTCTCTCCTCCTCCTCCTCCTCCTCCTCCTCCTCCTCCTTCTCCTTCTCCTTCTCCTTCTCCTCCTCCTCCTCCTCCTCCTCCTCCTCCTCCTCCTCCTTTCCGTCCTCCTCCTCCTCCTCCTCCTCCTCCTCCTCCACCGCGCATCCTCATGCTACGGGTCGACCGTATCCAGGGGAGGGGTGCCCGTGCGCCGCCCGAAGCCTCACTGGTTTGGGGGGGGGCACGGCAGGGTTTCGCATCGCGTCGACGCGGCGGCGGCCCCGCCGCCGGGGCGTTCCAGGGATTGAACGCCGCCAGTGGCCCAGAGCTGGCCACTGTCGGCGGGGACGAGGGGGGGGAAGTGAGAGAGAAGCTCCTGCTCAGGAGGCGGCGGGACTTCTCGGAAGCACTCGCGCGCCTTCTTGATGAGTTTGTCTGTGTCTTCGGGGAAGCTTGGGAAACTCCTCAGAGAGCCGGGGGGACTTCCGAGCCTTTGAGAAGGCGAAGGCCTGCTCCTTCTCACTTCCCCCTCTTCTCGCCGCCGTACCACCGCCGTTGGCATAAAAAACGCCCACCGGGCATAATGGACTTCGCTGCTGTTTTCAGAACCCCCTGTGACCCTAATTTCACTGTTGAAACCGGGGTTGCCTTGGCGGTGGTGTTTGGGGCGTTCTGTGTGCAGATGCTTGCACCCCGACAACGGCCGCGAGCGCAACATTGAAATAGGGGGTCCCGGGGCGGCACCCTCGAAGCAACGTCTGTGGACGGGCGTTTCTGTACGCCAACAGCGGTACGGAACGATCTGGCGATCGCCAGTCCGTCGTCCCTCCACGCAGTGTCGGAGCGCTCCCATGGGGTCAGCCAACCCCGCCCGGCCGAGCCAGACTTGGGAGTCCCAGACATTCATTGAGTCTGTTCTTGGGCCCGGTCCCCTGCCTGTCCACAGAGCTGCGCGCCGGAGCCTGACGACTTTGCTCTCTGGTCGCCGGTGCAGCTTTGGAGGTGTCGGCGCGTCGCCCAGGGCACGGCGGCCAGTTGAGCCCAGACAGATTGAAAGAGAAAGTGGCGCGCCTCCCGAGAGCCCTGCGCCCCGACCCTCTAGACTTGAGTCGGGCTGTCCCTCTACAGGTTACAGGAGGAATATTCTTTACGCTTCGCGTATCCCCACCAGCCCATCTCACAACAGCAACTCTTGCGAAGCATGTCGACAGTCGTGTTTTTCAGGCGTGTGTCCGCTTGCCCCCGCATATCTCCCCTGTTCCTCCTTCCTCCCGCCTCCTTGTACATCCTCCTTGTGGTGGGAGCGGGAGAAGGACGAGGCGGAGGAGGAGGGAGAGAAAGCGCTCCTCGTGGTTTGAGTCGTTTGGGGTTTCTCGTCCTGGTGTGAGTCGTTCGGGCTTCTCGTGGTGTGAGTTGTTCGGGCCCCTCGTCCTGGTGTGAGTCGTTCGGGCCCCTCCTCCTGGTGTGACTCGTTCGGGCTCCTCGTGGTGTGAGTCGTTCGGGGCCCGCGTCGTGGTGTGAGTCGTTCGGGCTCCTCGTGGTGTGAGTCGTTCGGGCGCCTCGTCCTGGTGTGAGTCGTTCGGGCCCCTCCTTGTGGTGTGAGTCGTTCGGGCTCTTCGTGGTGTGAGTCGTTCGGGCCCCTCGTCCTGGTGTGAGTCGTTCGGGCTCCTCGTGGGGCCTCTTGGGGGCCTCTTGGAGCCTCTTGGGGCCTCTTGGGGGCCTCTTGGGGGCCTCTTGGGGGCCTCTTGGGGGCCTCTTGGGGGGGGCCTCTTGGGGGCCTCTTGGGGGCCTCTTGGGGCCGCTTGGGGGCCTCTTGGGGGCCTCTTGGAGGCCTCTTGGGAGCCTCCGGGGGGCCTCTTGGGGCCATCTTGGGGCCTCTTGCGACCTCCTCAGAAGCGCAAATGAGAGCTGCCCCCTGAGAATGACAAAATGAGCCCAAATCCTTCGTAAAATCAATGATTTTGCTATGAAGGAAGATGAGCGCGCGGCCCCCTCAGGACGCCAACATGGGGCCAAAACCTCAGTAAAAGCAATTATTTTGGCTTCCAAGAAGAGCAGAGGGGCCAAACTGCGTCCCCCCGTCGGGGCCAGAATCCTCGTGAGGGTCGTCGTTTTTTGGCCCTCCCAGGAGTCGAAAAAGACCCCCCTGGCGACGCGCGGGGGTCCCTCTCCAGGCCCAGGGGGAGGGGGTAGGGGGAGGGGTAAACCCCTCCCCGAAGGGGAAGAAGGGGGGTTGAGAACAGAGAGAGCTCCCTAAACCACTCACGCCCAAAGGGCTGGTGGGATTCAAAAATAGTTAAAGTAGTCTGGGGACTATTTTTTGATACCATTTAAAAGTATTTTAGCGTATTTTTGAACATTTCTTTATTTTTCGTACACAATCCCCCTCTAGGGGGACAGGCCTCACTTAGCTCTAAGACCTGGCCCCCCCCCAGGCATACTCGAGATTCGGGGCTTGGCATGCAGCGCCTTGAAAACATCGGCACGACGGCGCGCCTCGACCGTCAACCGGCGGCTCGCGCTGCACAACGGGTCCCGGGGAAGGGGCCGGGACTTCCGGGGACCGCGTGCTTACCACATCAGGACATCGCATGTCGGGTCTGTGTGTGGGGACCGCTCCTCTCTCCTTCCCATCCGTCTATCCTGCTATCCTCTCGGCTCAAGTGCACGACATCCAATCTGTCCAACACCTGAGCCGAGAGGGTAGCAGGACAGATGGATAGAAAGGAGAGATGAGCGGTCTTCACACGCAGGCTCACGTGGGGCCGATTCCACCTTTCCGTCCCCGGCTGGCCCCGGTTTTGGGAGCTGCTGGGCTGCCGGCTGGGCTTCGCGACAGGGCCCTGGCCGATCCGGGTTTTTTTGTGCGGGCCCGGCTCTCAGTGCGTCCTCGGATCGGGGGGCGCCACGACCCAGGCTTCCCGCGATCAGATGTTTTCAATCGTGGCGCTTTCACTGCGTTTTCGGCCCCCAGGGCCCAGTGTCGGGCCCCTGGGCAATCAGAGGAGGGTCCGCGGGGCAGCGCTGCTCACGGGGAAGAGTATCAGGAGGTCTGGGGCCGCGGATTGAGCAAGTCACATCGGGGGATGCCTGGGGATATACCGCTTCACCTGGTCGCCGCGGCTGGATTCGCCTCGAAGTCTTGATCGGAGCGCACCCTGGGAGGCGTCTGGGAGCAGGGCTCGAGCTGAACGGTGTCTTGGCGATTTCGTGGGCTGTTTTCGTGTCGGTCTCGTTTCGCTGCGAAGGCAGAACGAACACATAACGAAGGGAAGACAGCAACAACAACACCAACAACAACAACTACAACAACAACAAAGGACAAATCCTCTTTAGCTCAAGCCCCGCTGGGGAGCAGTGGCATCGGTGTCTTCTTGTTTTCTCACGACCACCTCGCCGATCCTGGCTGGGGCTCCTCTTGGGCTCCCGCGTCGGTGCATATAATTTCGGCATCTTGGCGTGGCCAGGGAAGCATTCCCTGAGATCCGACATCTCGAAACTTCGGCAGCGTCGCAAACCACCTCTCGGGCTGCACGAAAGGGGGGGGATTGGGAAAGGGTGGGTTACGAAATTTGCTGCATGTAGCTGGTTTCGGCCCCGTCGATGGGCCCATTCCTCGATGCATGGCCGCCTCCGGCGCCGAGAGGCGCCAGGAAAATCAGCTACGTGAGCTGATTCTCAAACCCCCCCTTCGCTATCCCCCCTTTCGCCCAGCCCGAAACTCGACCGGAGCCCTGGACCCCATCTTTCTGCAGCATTTTCCGAGCCGGTTCGATCAGGTCTGGTCCCGGGGCCCGAAGTGCGACGCCAGGATCTCAGGGTTGGCACCGATCCTGGAGCTCAGGACGGAGCCTGGCCAGGGCCGGGCGAGGTGGTCAGCTGTGTCGGGAGCGTCCAAGAGGGGTGTGATGATGACAGGGGTTAAGGGAGGAAAGACCACCCCGACCCCGATACTTGGCGTTGATTAAACGGCCATGGGCATTTCTTAAACGGCCCTGCCCTGCTTGCTCTATTCCAGCCCCGGGTGCGTTTACTACTTGGCTTCGCTTGTGTCGGGTGCTTATCCTGGAGGTGTTTTTTGGGGGTGAGTTTTTTTGTTTGTTGATATTGAGTCGGGCCTGTCCCTCTACAGGGGGAATATCACCAAACAGTTAACAAATAGTCTGGGGACGATTTCTCTACCATTCTTGATCATTTTTGAGTGTTTTTTTTGTGTGTGACTATTTTTAATTTTCCGTCCAGAATCCGCCCGTAGGGGGACGCGCCCGAACTAATGTTAATAGGGCGATACTATGGCCCCGGGCCCTTCCAATCTCTCTCAACACGTTCCCTGGCCCCCCTTGCTCCGCGCGCGTGCCCCTGTCCACGATTTGTCCCCATCCCCCCCTCCCTTTTCCTCCTCCTCCTCCTCCTCCTCTTTCTCCTCTTCCTCTTCCTCCTCCTCCTCCTCCTCCTCCTGCTCCTCCTCCTCCCTCCTCCTCCTCCTCCTCCTCCTCTCCTCCTCCTCCTCCCCCTCCTCCTCCCTCCTCCTCCTCCTCCTCCCTCCCCCCTCCCTCCCTCCCTCCCTCCCTCCCTCCCTCCCTCCCTCCCTCCCTCCCCCTCCCTCCCTCCCTCCCTCCCTCCCTCCCTCCCTCCTCCTCCCGCCCCCTCCCCCCTCCCCCTCTCTGGACCCTCCGACAACTGTGGCGTCCCCCCGAGAGGAGGCCATCGCTGCCAGGCGCGAGGCGTACTGCGAGAAAGGCCGCTGCGACGCGCTTTACGCCGAGCTGCGGCTGCCTGAAGCGCGGTTCACGCTGGAGGAGAAGCAGGCGAGAATGCGGGAGAGGCACCTGGCCGGCAGGAGCCCCGAGCTGGGCCTGGGTTCCCTTTGTTTCTCTACTAAGGGCACCACTAAGGGCACCGCCACTAACGAGACACGCACAGCGACCATACCAAAAACGGCCAATTGAGATTCGTTGTGGCATGCTCAGGGACATATTGGTTTAACATGATGCCAACGTGCACTGGGTTGGAGGACCTCGCCGCATCGGCGATGCGGATCGGCGATGCGGTTCGATCTGGAGCCCGACTTTCTCCACCCCGACGTCGCCGATGCGTCGCCGTTGTCGCCGATGCATCGGGGATGCGGCCCGCTCCCCCCCTTCGCCGTCTGCTCCGGCCCTATTGGGGAGGCCTCCTCATCAGCGGAGGAGGGGCGCTGATGCTGCCACAGTTGCCCGGGCCTCG